AGAAGAATGAATGAACTAATAACTCACCTCAACAAGTTAGAAAACAAACAGCTCAATCAACTAACTTAATATAGAAGGAAGGAAACAAAATGAATAGAAATAATATACAACTGAGGATCAACAAAGCCAAAAGTTAATGTAATAAAGAGTAGTTGTTTTTTTAACCGCTGTCAAGTTGGCATTCAATTCATGGCAACCCATGAATTAGAGATTAGAATTGCCCCAGAGGGTTTTCTTGACTGTCATCTTGCCAGAAACAAATTGCCAGGTCTTTCTCCAGCAGAGCCACTGGATGAGTTCTGCCAGTCTTTCCGTTAGTAGCCAAGTGCTAAACCACTGCACTTACAGGCTCCTAGAAAATTCACTAGATGGACTCAAGAGCAGAAAGAGACAATATAGGAAAAACTCTGTGAACACGAAGACAGAATAATGGGAATTATTCAATCTGAAGAACAGAGAAAAAAGATTGAAAAATAATAGTAAAACCCTCAGAGACCTGTGGGAGTGTAAAAGTTCTAAAATAACAGTAAGTGGTATCCCAGGAGAAGAAAAGAATGGGACAGAAAAAATAATTGAAAAATATGGCCCAAAGTTTCCCATTATATTCAGTGAAAGACAAATACACAGATTCAACATGCTCAGGCAAAAAGCCCAGGCAGGATATATAAAGAAAGCCAACCAAGGTACTTCTTAGTCAAACTGCTGAAAACCAAAAACAAAGAAAAAATTATAAAAAGCATTCAAAAGAAAAAAGACATTCAATACAGATCAACAATGATTCTAATTCTTATTAGAAACAACAGAGATGACATAGACAGCAACATCTTTAAATTGTAGAAAGAAAAAAACATCAACCCAGAATTTTACACAGACTGAAGATAGTCTTTAAAAATAAATACAAAATAAATACTTTTTCAGACAAAGAAAAAGTGTAAGAATCCACATCTGCAGAGGAGTAATGTAAGAAATGCTAACCAAAGTCCTGCAGGCTGAAGTGGTATCAGATTAAAATCCAGATCTTCAAAAAAGAGTTAAGAGCACTGGAAATGGTATACACCTGAGTAAATATCAGACTATTATTTACCTCTTAATTTCTTTGAAATATACAGGACTATTAAAGCAACCATTTTAAAAAATGTATTTTAAAATCTTAAGTGTATTAGATACAATTCACTTGACAACTATAGCATGTAAAGGATGAGAGGTAAGGCTAAATGGACAGATCAGGTTTGCAGTATTTCTGCACTTTACATGAAAAACTCACTGCCATCATGTTGATTCCAACCCCGTGACCTACAGGACAGAGCAGAATTGCCCCATAGGTTTCCAAGGCTGTAATAATTAGAGGAACAGAGTGCCACATCTTTTTTCCATGTAGCAGCCGGTGGGTTCAAACAGTTAACCTTTAGGTTAACAGCCAAACATTTAACCACTGTGCCATCAGGATTATTCATTAACACTTTACATGAAGTGGTATAGTATTAACTCTAGGTTGACTGTAAAAACTTAATTGTATACAGTAGTGTGAGTCCTACAGCAACAGTGCAAAAATAACTCCCCAAACAAGCAAAAACAAAGAGCTTTAGATAAAAAGGCAAAAGAAAAATCCACAAGCAATTCTAAAAAAAATATATTAATTTATTCAAAAGATGGTAGAAAAAGATAAATAAATAACCAGAGTGAAATTATTACATTAAATGTTAATGAACTAAGCATTCAAATTAAAAGGCAGATATTGTCAGACTGGGTAACAAAAGAAATATTCATCTGGACGCTGTATCCAAAAGAAGACGACTTGTAATTTTGACACAGAAAGGTTAAAAGTAAATGGATAAAGAAAGAAAGATATACGATGCAAACAATAAGGATAAGAAGGGTGGAGTAGCTACCTTAAGAGCTAATGAAATAGACCTCAAGACAAAAGTATTACCAGAGATGAAGAAGGGCACATCAATACGACTGAAACAGTCAAATCCTTAGAAGGACATATCATAAATGAATAAGTATCTAAGAATAAAGCTTCAAAATACATGAAGCAAAAAACTGACATTGAAATAATCAAAGAAACAGACAACCGCACAATCATAGTTTGAATATTTTAACAACCATCTCAGCAACTCATGAAATAATTATACCAAAAACAAAAAAATCAGAAAAGATACAGATGGCTGAACAATACCATTAACCACCTTAACCTAACTGATACTACGAGAATTCTTCACCCAAAAACTGTAAAACAGGCATTCTTTTCACATTTACCAACAAAGACCACATGCTGGGCCATAAACAAGTTGCGATAAATTTAAAAGTTTTGAAATTATACAAAGAGTTTCTCTGATCACAAGAAAATTGAATTAGAAATCAAAACAATGAGATATCTGATAAGCTGTCAAATATTTGGAAATTGAACAGTGCTCTTCTAAATAACTGATGCATCAAAGAAATTCTAGGAGAAATTAAAAAAAATTTTGAACTGACTGATAATGAAAAAGCACATTAAATTTTCTGAGATGCAGCTAAAGCAAGCTTTGAGGGGAATTTATAGCTTTAAATACTGTTATCAGGGAAAAAAAAGGTCTAAGATCAAAGAAATATGGTTCAAAATTAGGAAGCATAAAAAAGAGTAAAGCAACTCAAGTAAATATAGGGAAATAAATAATAAAGCAGAAATCAATGAAACAAAAAAGAATGAATACTAACAAACACAGAAGTTGGTCCTTTGAAGAGATTAACAAAATCTCTAAATGCCTAGCTAAACTGATTTTAAAAAGAGAGAGAACACAAATTTCAAGTATCAGAAATGAAGGGAGGGTTATATCATTACAGACTGTAGAAACATAAAAGGCATAAAAAAGTAAGACGAACAACTTTACAGCAACAAATTTCATTAACTTTGACAAAATTAATTTTGAAACAAAATGAAAATGAAAATTTGAATAGCACTACATGTATTAGAAAAATTGAATTTACTATCAAAAGCTTTCCCATAAAGAAAATTTGGGGCACAAATAGTTTAACAGGTGAATCTATCAGACATTTAAGGAGGAAGTAAGACCAATGTCACAAATATCCTTTTAGAAAATAGAGGAATAGAGACTATTTCCTACTTTGTTTTATGAAGCCAGATTAACTCTAATACCAAAACCTGAGAAAGACATTACAAAAGAAAATTTCGGACCAATAGCTCTCATGAACATAGTTGCAAAGTACCTAAAAAAAAAAAAAAAAAAATCAGGAAATCAAATTCAGTAATATGTGAAGAGGACAAATACATATGGCCAAAAATGTCCTAGCAGTTCAAAGTTGGTTTAACATTTTAAAAGCTAACATGTAATTCATTTACCGTATTAGTGGAATACAGAAGAAAAGCCTTATGATCGTCTCCAGAGATGAAGAAAAACTATCTGGGCAACATTCAGCACTCACTTAGAATAAAAACTCTTGGCAAAATAGGAATAGAAGGGAACTTCCTCAAACTGACAAAGGTATTTTATGGAAAAATCTCCAACTATTTTTGAATGCAGGTTATAGAAATCTAGATATATAGAAATAATAGGTGGAAACAACATGTTTAATCAAGAATGTAAACCTAAAAGTTGTAAAATACATATTCAGATATATAAAAATTTGAAACATCTAAATGACAAAAATGCTGTAACTAAAAATAGCAGACAAACAGCAGAGCAGGGAGAGAAGAATTAATTTTACAATCTACAAAGCACTCCTACAAACTAACCAGAAAAAGACAAGCAAACCAAATGAAGTTCAGGAATAGATAATTCACTAAAAGTGCATCTAAATGTTCAGAAAATATATGAAAAGATTCACTAGTTGTAAACACAAATTAAAATAATAATAAGTAACACTTTAAAGGTTCCAATCTGTCAAAAATTAAAAAGAATTTTCATGTGCAGGCATTTAGGTACTCTCACACATTGCTTGTGCAAATATAATGTACTATATAGAGCCTTTTTGGAAAATATTTTGGAGTTATCTACTAAATTTGAAAATACATATACCCATTGAGCCAGCAATTCCTTGCTGGGAATTTATCCCACAATACTGAAAAGACATATATACCATTTAACTCAGTAATCATATTCTTGAGAATCATTTCCAAAGAAAGAAAATTCCCACTACACAAGGACATAGGTAAAACTACAGTGTTGTAGCAATGTTTATAGAGGTAAAACAACGGAAACAAATCTATACTACTGGTACGGGAATGCCTTATAAATTATGACATAACTACCCGTAATCCACCAGCAGTTATCACAAAAACTGATTTAAAGTTTTATGAAATGGCCTGGAACAGTATTTTCCATGAGTATTTCTAAGAATATTTTCTTCATGGAAAAACAAGTAGTAGAGAAACAAGCATCCAAACAAAGCAAGCTGCACCTTGTATGTATGTATGTGTGTATTTCTATGTGCTGTATCTACTACAGAAGATAAATGAGAACAGAGAAAAATATTGAAGGGCAATGCTTTGCCAATGTGCATTGGCTTCCAGGCAGGAGGATTAGAGGAAAAAAAAGTAGATTAAGCCAAAGAGAACTTTTTAAAAAAAAAAAAAGTAAATATGAACTTAACAAAAATTACATTATGTGCATGGTATATGCAAAGAAGCTAGCTAAATGAAAATTAAGCTTATAAATGCTCAGGACATGGTCCTTGGACCTTGAAAACCTTTCTACTTTAATCTCAATCTAAATTTGAAGTTTGAAATGTGAGCTTGACTTTCAGTTATTTTTCTCCATTTAGACAAAACAAACAAAAAATGTCCTCTAGTCTTTCTTCATATTAGAATTAAGTTTTGATTTTTATATGAGAAGATAATATGACTCTTAAAATGACAGTAAAGAAAACATCTGAAAATCTATCAAGGAACTAAGGAAAAAAGAACAATAATAATGAGCAATGTCTAAGGATAAAAAAAGTCAAAAATCAGTTAATCTAATTTCTCTAGAACAGGAATACCCACATAAAACCCAGTTTACCTTTTCAGATTCACCATCGCCCAGGGAATTCCAGTGGGTGTGTTAAAGGCAGGAAGAAGTTTTTCAGCCAATTGCACTGCTTTGATCTTGAATATCTAAGGTAAAAACATGAATATTCATAATTAATAGTCATCAATAAGTACTTGCTGATCTCTTGTGAATGCATACCACAATGTACTAGGTTTAAAAGGGGGGGGGGCAGCTAATTTCTTTGGTACCACAGAGCATACAGCAATCACAGTGTTTGTAAACTAAGATACTGAGTAAAGCTACCCAAGGTACAAAGCTCTAAAACTACAATTTAATGCAAAGTGAAGAACATGGTTTGATGGGAATATTATCTTTATTTTCACCTGGGGAAAAACCTAAGAGAAAACATTAGGCTATCGAATTTCAGACAAGAGATACAAGCTTAGTTCAAATAATAAGACTAAAGAAAGAGATGTAACCCAACTTAGATAAATGCTCTTGGATTACTGCAACTATGTTTATGTCCAAACATTTTCCATCAAAACTTAATAAGCATTATAGAAAACAAAGAAAACATGAGCGTTCACACTCCAAGTTTACCTTAAGAGTTATAAATGCTTTGCCTCTATGTCCCACTTGCTGCTTTTTTGGTACCCTAAACAATAAATATGAGCTCTAGTAGCATATAGTGCCTAAGGCATTTGACTGCTAACCAGAAGGCTGGTGGGTCAAACCCAACGGCCACTCCTCAGAAGGAAAGCTGGGCAATCTACTTCTGTAGTGATACTGCCTCAAGAAACCCAATGAGGGGTCGCTATGAGTCGTGTTCAACTCAATGACAGTGAGTTTGGTTTGGTTTAAATAATAAATGGCCTAAATATCAGTGGCCTCCAAACTCTTTTACATCATGTATTATTATCAAGATGTATATAGTAACATTTCTAATATTTTCTAAGCATTGTCCCATAGATAGGTTTGCATACCACACTTTGAAGACCACTAATTTAAAGACCCCACGATGTTCAATTAGAAAAAAAGTAGCATATTCACTTATGAGCTTCAAGTCTATCCCCTCTTAAACTGATTCCAAATTGACTGGTTATTTCAGGTCCTATCATTTCATTAAAACCACATATTTTTGATAAAATATTAGAGTCATCAAATGGTAATTAGTTGAACAGACCAAAGTTTTGAGTTGTGGAAATGTTCAAGAAAACATATCAACATTATTGTGGGTAGAAAATATTAGAGAATATATACAAGTAGGAAAAAAATGACATTAAGCTGTTCTGCAAGTTTCCTTAAATAGGTGAGAACCATTTAGCAGAACTTTTAATTAGATATACTCATATATCTATAATTTACCATTTCCTTTAATAGTCACTTCAATATAAAAATCCTGAAGAAAAAATACAATAATTTAAGGTAAATATGTGAGTAATATTCATCCTATTAATTCAGAAAATCAAATTAAAATTCATTTCTGTTAGTATTAATATTTATATCTTGACAAAGGTTACACTATATACAGTAAAGAGTATCAATTTTGTTTATCATGAGATAAACAAAGGGACCAAGTTTTTATCTAAGAATATGGTTGTTGTTGTTATTGTTATTATTATTGTTAGTTGCCTTCAAGTTCGTTCTGACTCGTAGCAACTCCATGTATGCAGAATAGACATGATCCATAGGGTTCTTAAGCCTATGGCCCTTTGGAAAGCAGATAGCCAAGCAGGTCTTCTGAGGCGCCTCTGAGTGGTTTCCAACTGCCAATATTCTGCCAAGCAGCCAAGTGCTTTGCTATGTATTTGTTAATCACGGCTTTTTTTTTGGGGGGGGGGGTGTCTGTTTTGTTTTTTTCTAAATTTACTTTTGTTGTGGTGAAAACACACACCAAGACATTCACCAACATAACAACTTCCATATTTACAGATCAGGGACACTGATGACATTTTTCATGTTCTGCCACCATTATTGCTATCTTTTGTTAAGCAAGTATTTTTGTGTCACATCTTTTCTAAGGATGAAACTAAGATGAAGAATGGTAAAATGATTTACAAACTTTTTCTAAATAGAAAGTATTCTTATTTCACTTACAGAGGTAAACAATAACACTGACTAATTTTCAACTATCTTGTGTCATATATACAGTTAACACATATAGTAAACAAATTCTAATGGGCAGTCCAAAAATAAAACACCTCCTAATGCCATTGAGAAAAATCTTCTTACACAGTATACTCATCTTAATTTATTCACAAATATATGAACTCTTTAATGATAAACATATTATAATCTTAAATTCTCTATCTCAGAATCATGTTTTAATAGACAACAACAAAAACTCCAACATATTTTGATACACAATACCAACAGCAAATTTAAAATAAATTCATTTTAAGTATGCAGTGCAGGCATATAAGAAAAAATCCAAAAGGCATTAAAGCAGTTTCTTTTTCAGTCCTGTCTGTCAACCATCTACAATGCAACCAGGTATCAGTTTCTTAAATATCTAGTAAATAATGTGTGCTAGGTCAGTTTCATGGTTCCTAATCTCATATCCTGGCCTCCTACACAGAGTTAGCTGATCTCTCTCTCCCTCACATAGAATATCCTGCACTCAATTCTGAACATGTTTACTTTACTTAATGGGATCTTGGTGATCTTTCCAAATAAGTACACAAAGCTGCATCAGTCCCTTAAGTGGCTACAGGATTTCTCCTTGTATGGATATATCACAATTCATTTTATCAATACCCTACTGATTGACATTTAATTTCTTTCCAAATTATGTTGTATTGTTAGCTGTCATCTAATTGGTCTCCAACTCATGGCAACCCCATGCACTCAGAATGAAATGCTGCCCAGTTCTGCACCATCCATGATAGGTTGAAGATCAGACTGTTGTGATCTATAGGGTTTTCACTGGCTCATTTTAGAACCAGATAACCAGGCCTTTCCTCATAGTCCATTTTAATATGGAAGTGTCACTGAAATCTGTTCACCATCATAGCAACATACAAGCCTTCACTGAATGACAGTAGTAGCTGTGCATGAGGTGCACTGGCCAGGAATCAAACCTGGGTTATACACCTATGTAAAATAAACTCTGAAGTAGAATCGTTGGATCAACGGGTATAAATATTTATAATTTTGATAGCCATTGCCAATTTGCACCCCATGGATATTTTACTAATTGATACCCCTAGCAAAAAATTGAGTGGCTATTTCACCATGTCTTTGTTAACCCAGGAGTTATCAAACTTTGGATTATTGCCAAACTGAAAGCAGAAAAAGGGAACCCTATTGTTATTTTCAGGAGCCCAGGTAGCATAGTACCTAGGTGCTCAGCTACTAATCAAAAAGTCAGCAGTTCAAACACACCAGCTACTCCATGGAAGAAAAATGTTAAAGTTTACTCCCATAAAGATTTACGGCCTTAGAAACCATATGGGACAGTCCTACTCTGTTCTATAGGGTCATTATGAGTTGGACAATGGGTTTGTTTTTTTCTTTTTATTACTATGTTTATTTTCATTTCATTATCAATGTGGCAGACACTCAACAGCCATTCAAAACCTCTTTCATTATACCTTAATGTATTACACAGTATGAAAAATGTTACTTAATTCTCATTTGGATTCCAGGGACCTAAGAATAGGCTCCATTTGCCAAGAACAGCAGGGACATAAAGAAGGCTGACATCAAGAAAGGAGACAGGGGGTGAGAGTATCAGTGCTGCCAACTAATGAACAGAAGAGCACAGTACCCTGCTTTCATAGATAACATCTAAACAAACCAAAGAAAACAAAAACTGTGGGCAAGTCACTCCAACACACAATCACCAATTAAATATTAACACAAAAACATCACAATGCCTCAGAGCATCACAGTCAACACAAAGATGTAAGATAAAGCAGGAGAAACAAGGGACCAGGATATAGACCGAAAACACATCCCTGAGGAAGACGCAGCATTGGAACTCCCTGACAAAGAATTCAAAAAAACCGTATCTGGGTACCTACAACAGATTGAAAAACGTATCAAAGAAAACACTGACAAAATGGAGGAGAAAAACCTAGAACAATTTCTAAAGACAATACAAGAATAAAATGACAAAATAAATGAAAAATTAGAAATGATACATCACCTACAGATAGAAATGCAGAACACTGATACCAAATTTTCAGAAATAGTTAACACATTGAATGGGCAAAGGAGAAGAGTTGAATCAATGGAAGACAGAATTAGTGAGACTGAAGACAAATATCTCAATATTTCTTTGGAAAGGGATCAATCACATCAATCAGAAAAAAAAAGATCAAAACAAAATGAAGAAAACATAAGGTTCATGTGGTATACCATCAAAAGGAATGACGTACATATAATCAGAACTCCAGAACAGGAAGAGACAAATAAGACTACAGAGAAAATTGTTGAAGATTTGCTGGAAGAGAATGTTCCTGGTATGATGAGAGATGAAAATATATCCATTCAAGAAGTCCAACGAACCCCAAACAGGATAGACCCTGAAGAAAATCACCAAGACATATCATCATCAGAGGTGGGGCAAGATGGCGGACTAGGCAGAAGGATTGCACAGACCCTCTTCAACAAAGAAAAGGGAAACCAATTAA